ATAAATCTGTATTGAATGAAAATATCTCTCTCTCTCTCTCTCTCTCTCTCTCTCTCTCAGATTATTAATATGATGCAATCCCATGATAAGAAATAAAGGTTATCTAGAATGTCTTGAGGGAAAAAATTGCAAAGCACCTTTTTGTGTAGCATATGTTTGTCTATTGCATGGCCTCGTTTTGCATCCATTCAATAAATACCTAACAAAAAATACTATAGTTAACTATAGTTAACTATGGTGATAACTTTGACACTATGAAAACTTTTATTTACTATAGTGATAACTTTGACACTTTGATTTACGATAGTGATAACTTTTTACACTTTGATTTACTAAAGTGATAACTATGAAAACTTTCATTTACTATAGTGATCACTATGAAAACTTTGATTTACTATGGTGAAAACTTTGATTTAGTATAGTGATTACTTTGAAAACTTTGGTTTACTATAGTGATCGCTTTGATACTATACTGATCACTTTGACACTTTGATTTACTTATTGATCACTATGAAAATTTTGATTTACTAGTGATAACTTTGACACTATAGTGATAACTTTGAAAACTTTGAATTACTATAGTGATCACTTTGACACTATAGTGATCACTTTGAAAACTTTGAATTACTATAGTGATCACTTTGACACTATAGTGATCACTTTGAAAACTTTGATTTACTATAGTGATCACTTTGAAAATTTTGATTTACTATAGTGATCACTTTGACACTTTGATTTACTATAGTTAACTATGGTTTACTATAGTAAACTATATTTAACTATAGTATTTTTTGTTAGGGATATTTCGTAGATTTCAGACTGGTTTTTTTCAATTTTTATAAGTTATTACATACTTTAAAAATAAATATGTTATATAGTGAGGAGGTCACTCCAACTTTATTTCACTATCCAAACTTTATTAATACATTATTTAGCACATTACATCAGTTAAACTATACCGGGGGGGGGGGGGGGGGCAACCAGCATCTGAAGGAAAATTTACCGTAGCAAATAATACTGTACTCAGAAAAAAGTACAGGGGTTGCCCTCCTCTTCCCCATCCCCCATTCTACGGGCCGGTGTCTTGAACAATTCTAACTTAACGAGGCCGAGTCTAATTCGTACGAAAGCCTATTAGGATTAATCTAAGGAGAAAAAAATATATAAAAAGGCGTTATAACGCCTTTCAAAAAGGTGTAATAACGCGAAAAAAGGCGTTATAACGCCTTTTCAAAAGGCGTAATAACGCGAAAAAGGCGTGATAACGCGAAAAAGGCCTTATTACGCCTTTCTAAACGGCGTTATCACGCCTTTCTAAAAGGCGTTATTATGCCTTTCTAAAAGGCATTATTACGCCTTTCCAAAAGGCGTTATTACGTGTTTCTAAAATGCGTTATTATGCCTTTTGAAAAAGCGTTATTGCGCTTTTTCAAAAGGCGTTATTACGCCTTTCCAAAAGACATTATTACGCCTTTTCAAAAGGCGTTATTGAGCCTTTCCAAAAGGTGTTATTATGCCTTTCTAAAAAGCGTTATCACGCCTTTCAAAAAGGCGTTATTACGCCTTTTTCTTTCAATACATGATGAACTTAGCCCACCCCGGGGCCTGAAATCATACCCTCGGGACATGAATTTCACAATTAAATATAGGGTTAATTTCTCAAAAAAATAATTTAAACAATTGTAATTAGATTTCTAGGTAAAAAGATATTTAAATGTGTAATATATTTTCCATGTTAAACCAACTTAGTCCTTCTCTGATGCCAGACACATCTACGAAGGTCATGGATTTAACAAATTTGGTTGAAGGCTAATTGCTCATTTTACCCATGCAAATAGTTTGCCTGCTTTTTTCCAAGAGGAAAGAATTTTTTTTTCAAATTTGACATGAATTTTTAATACATGGCCAGCAAAGCCCATGCTGCATCTGAATATATCCTGGATTTTCACAAGCAGAGTGCTGACTTCAGTGGAGGATCTAGGGGGGAGGGAGGAGGGCGCAGTAGAAGGCAGGGGGGTGGGTTGGGGGCCTGCATTGAAGTCCCCAGTGGGTCTAGGGCAAAGCCCTGGTGGGGGCCCGGAGGCGAAGCCCCCGGAAGCTGACGAATTCTTACAAATAAGATGTTTTTTCCTTGATTTTAGGATAATGGATATATAAGTTCTACATACAAAAAAATCAAACGGGGGGTGCGCCCGGCGCGCCGGCCCTGGATCTAATTAAAATAACGTCTTTCCTTATTTGGATATTTATAACGACTTTTTAAAAATTCGTTATAAAAATTCCTTTGAATTATAACAAATTTTATCTGTTATAACAGATTTGTTTCATTCATAATAACAAATTCAAAAAATTGTTATAACGAATTAAACTCGTTTTTACGGATTCACGATCTTGTTATTACGAATTTAATTCTTTGAAAGGAATTCTCAAATTTGTTATAAAGAATCAAAATCTTTAAAATCAATTCGAAAATTCGTCATCTCGAATTCATATATATTTTTCTATAGACCCTGATTGTTGAATTTGATGAAACAAATTTATTCGTTATAACAAATTTTAGAATCTCTTAAAACGAATTGAATTTGTTACATTAATTTTTTGAATTCGTAATAAAGAATTCAACAAATCTGTTATAACAGATAAAATTCGTTATAACGAATTCAAAGAAATTGTTATAACGAATTAAATTCGTCATCACAAATTCGACAATTCGTTATATCAAATTCAAAAATATTGGGATTCCGTATAGGTGCAACGTAAGTATTGTAATTTTAATACGAAATTAACATTATTTAACATTATCTGTAACGTTTTTGGGTCTTAAAATGTGCTTTTAAGACAATGACTAGGAATAAACGCTGAAATAGCTTTCACGAAGTCATTTTTTTCTGATTCTGTAAGCAATGCATGACGCTGAAGAATGACGCATGACTCACTTGAGTATTCAAATAGTAATGACCGTTCACGGTAGCTCAGTCGGTAGATCGCTCGCTCCGTGATCGGGAGGTCGTGAGTTCGAATCTCGGCCGCGACAGACCTAAGTCGATAAAAAATGGGTATAGCAACTGTTCCTTCGCCATGCGCTCGGCACTTTGAAGTGAAAGTTGCGGGTCCTTCGGATGAGACCTTAAAAACCGAGGCCCCGTGTCACGGCAGGCGTTGACACGATAAAGATCCCTCACTGCTCAATGGCACTGAGTGCCGAGTAAAGGTCAAAATTTGAAGCCCTTCACCGGTATATGGTGACGTCTATATATGAATGAAAAATTCTCGAATGGGACGTAAAACAACAAACAAACAAACAATCAATCAAATAATAATGTTTAAATTGCTGGTATGTTTGTTTTGATGTTCTTTCAACTCTTATTAATAAAATGTCCATGGACGTCTTGAATACTAACTCGTTATGACGTGAGATGATTAGGTCGTTATAACGAGATAGTAACAGGAAGTGGGAGTATAATTTTGTGAGGTCAGTGCTCAAGTACCCAATTCATCTTGGTTTTCTTCCACGAACGGACTTCAGATCATTTAGAAGTTTTCTTTTAGGATATTTTCTTCCATTTTAACTTCTTTCTTAATTCTTTTCTTCCGCCATTGTACCCTTTCTCTCTTGCTCTTTGGAAACCAGACGTTAAAGATATGGTAGATTTTACTATTTATGTTTATGTTTTTTCCGTGTAAGCATTTTTCCTTATTGTAGTTTTCATATATGTTTCCTTAAGATTATTTTTATCTTAAAAACTTATTTTAGATTAAAGAAAAATCCTGTGCACATTTGTGAGCATACAAGCCTGCGTGATAGCCTTACCGTTAATTACACGCCTCTTCCTGGTCAGGACCATCACTACTATAAATGAAAAACCATATAAATCTGTATTGAATGAAAATCTCTCTCTCTCTCTCTCTCTCAAATTATTAATATGATGCAATCCTATGATTAGAAATAAAGATTATCTAGAATGTCTTGAGGGAAAAAAATTGCAAAGCATGAACTGTTTTCATATTAGTGATACTTTTTTGTGTAGCATATGTATGTCTATTGCATGGCCTCGTTTTGCATCCATTCAATAAATATTTCGTAGATTTCAGACTTTTTTTTCAATTTTTATAAGTTATTACATACTTTAGAAATAAATATGTTATATAGTGAGGAGGTCACTCCAACTTTATTTCACTACCAAACTTTATTAATACATTATTTAGCACATTACATCAGTTTAACTATACCGCTATACCGCAGCAAAAAAAAGGGGGCAGCTTTTCAAAGAACACTTTGGTGATAATTTATGTTTGGGAAAAAAGTGAGGGGGTAGCCCTTTCCCAGGTAATACGCTCCTGTAATAACAATGATTTTGCTTATTTCATAATTTATGGACCAAGAGTTTAACAAATATTTTTAAAATGCACGCGATTTCAATAATTGTTAAAAAGAGATTATGTATAATTGTTGGGAAAAAACGTATCTCCTTTACGGTTTTTTAGAAAAAGATTTTTTAAATTTGTTCAATTCAAGGACCTTGCTTTATGGCGAGCTATTGTGCTTGGTTTAAAAACGCCAGATACAGGACAAGAAATTGGGCTTGTGAGAAGTTAATACTAGTAGACCAAAAAAACCAGAAGACAGAGAATTTATTATAAAAAGGCACATTAATACATTGGGAAAGCTAAGTTCATGGAACCAATTTAAGTCAGTCAGTGTATTTCATAATACTCTAAATGCATATTTTATGTCAAAGTTAATCTTGCATATGATGTATATGAAGGACTTCCTAAAAAATGCCTTATTGCTTCCTTCCAAATCATCAGGATGCAGAAAGTCTATTATTTCCTCTTAGTCAACATAAGTTATGAGATAATTGCTTTTTATGTCTCTTAATTATTTTCCTTAAATCACTAATAAAAGAACAGCACGATTTTCACACAACAAACAGTCACAGAGCCCTGTTATAATTTCTTGCCCTAACAACAGCGCTTTGTCTTTAGCCGTTTTTTATAGTCTCGGTATATTGAATACTTATTGCATACAAGCTGATTTGTCAACGACATCATGCACTCATGGCATATTAATCATATTTACCCATCAATATTTAAGACAAAAATCATAAATAAAGCGCCACTGTCGGAGACACTAGGCCTATATGCGGCTTGTCAAATGAGGTGGACCTCGAAAGTGACAGAAATTGCAGGTAACACGTGCGCATTTCATCACAAAACCCCCTAGATGCCTCGCTATAAACTGCATGTCAAAGGAGGCCGGTTCTTTTCAGATTCGCTATAGGTCGTCGGTAAGGTAAGGCTTGCAAATGACCCCTGCTTCATAATACCGACAGTAAAATCTGCAGACATTGATGAAACATTTTTGGAAAGTTTCAGCAACTTTTTACACACATATAATCCTTTATTGAAATGTTTTCTCTTTTGCAGAAAATGGACTTATTCTGGCTTGCAACCTTTGCTCTGTGCATTCATTATGGATTTACACAGAATATTGGAGCAAACCAGATAAGGTTCGGAAGGCCTCGGTCGTTTCCATTAGGCCCTGCTCCTCGGTTTTCAGGGACACCGTTTGCAAGACCAATACCATCCAACAGACGACTGAACTTTATTCCTCAACCATTACCCTCTCGTCGACAAATTCTCTTTCCAAATGCTGCAAACTCATTTGCACCCGCGATGCCAACTACTTCGTCACTTTTGTCTGGGTCAGTGTCAGGTTTAAATTTTGGCAGAGTTAACCCACAGGGTCAAGGTCTTGTGACAGAACCAAGCGTTTCTGTGGATGTAGGGAATTTGGATTTTGGAGCCGTTGCGGAATCTGTGATGACGGATATGTTTAGAGAAACGATGACTGGGGACAATTCTTTGAGGAACAACAACGATTTGAATACAAACAGCCAAACATTCAGTCAAGGACAGCCAATTTCAGGGTTGCCCCCAGTTAACAGCGGCTCTCGTTTGGGTAGCAATGTCCTACAAAATAACCCAATTTCAAATAACTGGAATGCAAATTTAGATTCTCGGCCACCAATTGGTTCAGAACTTAGGCCAGTACATTTACTGAATGAAGAGGATTCTTTAAGCAACAGAATTAATACTAATAATAGACCTGAGATAAGACAAGCACCGTTACTTAATGGTGTCGGAGAATCTACAGAAAACAGAGTAAACATCAATTTTAGAGCAGAAAGCAGACCAAATTCAAATAATATGATTGGATTAAATGTTCCTCAGACACAACAAAATACTTCATCCCCGGTAATCTTAGCACCGGCTTTTCCCGGTTTCGCTCCATTGCAATTTCCGGATTTAGGTGATGACTCTTGGTTTTCTTACCTTAAGGGTCTTTTAGATCGCACTAGTCCTAACCTTCAGATATTTTCAAATTCAACAGGAGGTGGAATGTATCCTATTCCTCAACGCTTAACAGACCTTCCAAGAGGCACTATGCCAATCTACATTAAAAACTTCCGGAGCAACCCAGCCTACGTTCCTTTTAAACTTTCCGGCCAACCTTTCAACTTGCTTATTCCCTTTAACAGAGATAACCGTGAAATGATGTACCCGTATTTGCCTCTTTATATTCCATATCCAAACGTAGGTATTGATGTACCGGAAATTGGTATGCGTTTCGTAGCGTATCTTCCTTTTCAGCCTGATAGATACAGGACGTCAAGAGAGGGCGCTGGTGTCATAATTCCACAACTTTCTGCCCCTGGGTCGTTTCCGATATACGTTGATCGACGACCTGTGCTTGGGAATTTAATGCAACGGGTACGTCAACATCTATTACATAACATGGAAGTAACTCTGTGATGTGATATTGGGGTGCAGGCCCGTAGCAACGGTTTCAAAAGGGAGGACTTCCCCAAAAAATCTGACAAGCCAAAACAAACTTACCTAAAGGGGGGGGGCTTTCCAAAGTTATCTGACAAGCCAAAAAAAGCTAATTTACTGTCCAAAATCTTGGAATTTGCCAGTGCTCGACCTTACAACATTATAAAGTGGGTGGGGGAACCAGCATCTAAAGGAAAATTTACTATAGCAAAATACTATACTCAGAAAAAAGGGGGCACCCTGCCCCCTCCCCCCCCCCCCCGCATTCTACAGGCCTGGGGTGTGGTAGAGAGAACATTGTAAATGATAGGATTAAAGCAGGATAGGAATTTTGGTTAGGGAAAAGTACTAGTGCAAACGGAGGATAATTTACTCAAGTTCAATTTATTCACCCAAACCAAAATATTGATACATGGGGTACATTAATTGCATATATACATTGTATACAAATTGGCCAGAGGTACATATACAATACAAAAGGATGACAGACAATGAATAAATATTAAAAAGGGAGAAGAGGAAATGTATCAAGGTGGACAGACAGCATCATAAATTTTCAAAATTTTGAAAATAAACATGCATATATAGTTTTTTTCAGGATTTTTTTCGTTTTTGAGTTGACATTAATTCCATAAATTGAATAATGTTCGGTAGATGCCTGTGTATTATTTTTCTTACATTAACTAAAGCTTTACATTCAAGGATATTCATCAGTAATTTGAGCATTATTACAAAATGTATACAGATTCTTCCGCAAAGTGGTATACCATACCATCTTCCAGTTTATTCTGGTATAGATGATGATATGATTTGCAGTACGAAATTTTAAAAATATTTTTCTAAATTTAGAAGATTACTTATCAATATAATTTTCAAATCCAAGGTTTTGTTTAAAAATTATGTAAATTTGTCCTCAAAAGATATTGAATTTCCTCATCAAAAACATGTATAATTATCCTTTTTTTTTTTTTTTTTTTTTTTTTATTTCTTATTTTATAAAATTGAATTTGATATGAATATTATTTATGTGTAAATTCTGATATATAATTTTCTTTCAGATGGGGTGAAGTTGACTGGAATCTTATCATTACCTTTAACGGGATAATATCAGAGTCTACAAAACAATTGTACAACTGTCTTCTAAACAATGACTTGCAATGATTAGTACTTGAAAGATAAGCAGATTCGTACCAGAAACATTTGTGGGACCGTGTTTGATTTTTTGTGATTGGTTCGCCATTAATGTCCATCCATTTGGTTACCCTTTGACAGCAGTCCCGCAGTAAATCAGCTTAGGAATGCTGCGAGACTGACATTTGTATTCTCAGTGTCTGCCATAAAACAAAATTCTGTCAGGACTTTGAAGTTAAATTTCTATTGACAGCTCTGGTATTTATTTTGAATAAATTTTAGAGCTGTACTTAGATTTTTTTTTGTATATTTATTATTTTGTTTTTAATCTGTGTTTGAATTAATAAAAAAAAAAATATTAAGAAAATATGAGAAATAAATAAAGGCTAGATAAGACAGCAGAAGCCAGCCTCACTTCCGGTTTGAGTGCGTCCAACGTCATCAGCTTTTTATTTATTAAAACAGTAAAACATGTATCCATATTTTTCTTTACGACAGTGTTCAGTCTCGATCATCAGTTCATCATTACCGTTACTACAGGGCGAGTGTCTATGTGAATATTCCTGTTATTATTATTTTTGTACTTGGTTTAATTAATGATCTTGTGGTTCGTATAAGAACAAGATTATTGATTTCTTTCTTTTAAAGTGTTTTCTGGATACGTTTATTTCTCTTTCCAAAGAAATTCTTATATAGCATGTCCAAGAAAAATGAAGTCCTTGTTCTTGTTGTTTCTTTCTTTTTTTTTAAATAAAATGATATCCTCCTTCCCCAAGTTATATCACAGCCATCTCTATACATGTCTTTAAAATAATTTTAAAAAATATTAATAAAAATTATGGACTTAATAATTTTTGCAGTATAAATGTACAATTAATTTTAACTTCACTTTACAAAGTACTTCATGAGTATGACCTTGAGTCATGATTCATAAGACCTTTAGATCATCATAGACCCTTTATTTTTAAATGATTATGCATCTCATTCTCTGTGACCATGACCTTAGAGACGATATCTTACGAATAGCTTAAGGACATCAGTAACAACATACTAAAACTCGTGTTCGAATTTGTTCCATTGAAGGGTTCTAAAGTTTTAACCCGGAAACGATAAATAATGGCCAAGTGACTATGACCTTCTACATGTAGATATGACTTTGTTCAAAATCATGTCAATCTTTGGATCACCAGAAACAATATAAGTTTGAAAACAATCTAATCCATAAGTAGAATCTGGACACAATTTTGCTCAATGCATGACCTTGACCTGAATCAAAATCTTGAGACATCTTCAGGTCATGTATAACAACATACTTAAGTTGATGATCATTCAAAAATGATTGAGTTTTTGTGCCAGACAGACAATTATACCAAAACCAATATTTCAGATCTTCTTCCGGTTTGAGAGACATGATCACATAATGAGAACGTAGAAACGAAAGTTTAGATTCCCATAAAAATACTGTGAAAGTGTTTTATATAGCCAACAATTACAAAAAGCTATTAAAGCAATAGAGAATCGAGACAAATGCGCTCAACAATTGGCGTTTTTAAACGTTCATGTGTTTTTCTCACGTTGTTAAATAAATTTGTCGAGTTTCCCGCACTCTCATTCTGACAACATAACTTATTACATGTATGTTGTAAGGTCAATCGGTGTTAACAGCTAGTATACATGTCGCAATGTATGCATGGCCTGAAATGATTCAGCAAAATATACATATGCAAAACTAGTTAGAATAATCTAACAGTTACTGTGTCTCGGACAAACCCTCACCACCGGGTCCTTAGGATAATATCATTTTAACGATAGAACGTTCTATCTAATACAAAACGTCCCTCTAGGTCAAGTTATATTGGACCTTGTTCATCATGCATTCTTTTCTTGCATGTTTGGTCTTAATAACTGACAACTGACACGTGGGTTAACTACTGAAATGCGGTAACCTTTCAAGCTTAGACTACCGTGCAGGTGGTCCACGGGTCTTAACGAGGGATTATCGATTCCGGGATTATATAATTAGATTACCGGCTTTTATCTGACCCCTGTTCACACCTGCAGTGTTTATCCGTCGATTTACAGCTGATTCCGGTTTACGACAGGTGAAACGCACCAATGCGTGAAACTGACCATAAAATACCACAGTTCGGCCTTTCAGGACATCAGGATTTTCGAACTGTCCAGTTTACACAGTATAACGAACAGCCTATCACGAGATTCCAACAAAAAAAAAAAATCCGGAAAAAAAACATGCATGATAATAATAATTTACACACATCGATATCAATGATCACATGACGAGAACATTGAAACGAAAGTTTGGATACAATAAAAAACACCGTAAAAGCCAATGTCTAGTTGTGTGTGGGTGTGTGTGTGTGAGGGGGTGTGTGTGTTTATACAAGCCAATTTTTATCAAAATCTAATTTACGCATATTGAACATTTTCGGAAAGAGATCGGAGTGGCGGATTTAAGCCCCCCCCCCCCCCCCCCCCACTGTCAAAGTTAGCGTAAATTATAGTTTCGTCAAGAAAATGTGAAATTTGTCTACTTGGTAGACCTCATTTCTACCCTACAAAATCTCTAGAATCCAGGAGCTTTCGGGGGCTTTGCCCCCTGGGCCCCCACTAGGGCTTCGCCCTGGACCCACTGGGGGCCTCAAGGCGGCTCCCAGCCCCCTGCCTACCTTCTGCGCCCCCCCTCCCCCACTTCAATTCCTGGATCGAATAGAAATCCCCTTCCCCAACGTTTGCTTTGAATTAAAATTGTCTACTCAAAGTTAATTGCCCAAAATTGTAAATTTGATATTATTAGGGTGGAATGAAACACCAAAATTTTATTTAAAGGATGTTTAAGACATCTCTTTTGAAATATGGTTGTAGCAATCTTTTTTGTTACAGATTCATTGCTTTTCTCCAAAGTATTTGGAAAAGAGTATGGAACAATCACTGTTTCTTTTGGCATAATATTCCTACTCTATAATAGAGAGAATCACACATTTTATAATTCTAGAGACGTACCTAAGGAAATCGTACAATCATTTATTTTCAACTTTCTAAGGCGATGTTAAAATATGACTACTAGTAAATATATACTTGGGAACTGTCTGTAAAATAATCCACTTTGAAGAAAAACAATCCTTGGAGCAAAACTGATAATTGTATCATCATCGTCAGTGATCTAATATCTTTTCCCATTTAAGTTGAATTTCTTTTCCTATGAAATGAAAACTTAAGAATGAAGAAGGAATTCATATGAATGTTAATTAAAGCAAACATACATTAAGCTTTTTTATCGAGCTGCTTGTAAAATGTGTATTGGAAAATTTTAAATTCTTTCTACGTGTTACAATATATTTACACACATATATATGCCTCAGGCTCGTCCACCACGTGTCAAACCCTAGCTACTAATTAGGCATAACCTATGCAAAGCCAACACTTCTATTACCGTCTTCCTTGGAAGACAGTATACAGTTGAAGTATTTTACATTCTTCGGACTATGCACTTCCTCTCTTCTTTGTTCACAGAAGATTGGAATTGTTCGATTAGTTTCCTAGTGTTAATTAAAAACCTGTTAAGTTTAGGACAATAATTTTTGGCGGACACGGGTTACATGAAGCAAACAGTAAAAATAATTTGGCACTGATTAACAGAAGAGTACTTGAAATACCTTAGATACGTAAATATATCTTAAAGCTTAAAGATGGACCTTCGTTATTAACGCAAAAGACCAGGAAAACAATGTTGAATGACAGATTGATCAAAACTATTTTTCTTGTGTTCAGTACTTTTACGTAAGATGCAAATTTAGCGATTAAAACTTAAGCGGGTTTGACCGGTCAACAGGGGATGCTTACTCATCCTAGGCACCTGATCCCACCTCTGGAATTTCAGTGGGTCCGTGTTTTATCCCCTGTTCACAGATTTGTGTTGTTTGTAGATTTTTTGAGATCGAACACTGTTCGTTATTTTCACCTTTTTTTCACATTACCGCTTTATTTATAAGTATACACACCACTATGTTTAATGCTTCCTCCATTAGCCAGCGACCTATGCACGTACAGATATAAAGTACAACATGTACATACATGAGACCTGTTTCCCCTGCTCACCAAGATGAAAGTAGGTCTGCCTGGACTTAGAGCAAGATGTGTTTTTTATTCATCTTTTTATTTAAAATTTTGAGTCATTTTATTTCTAAAAGACACATTTTTTTTTTAATTTTTGAGTTTTAAAACTGAGAATTGTTTAAAGATAACACACAGTTTTCACAGAATTGGTAGCGCTTTGAAGACCATTCGCTTGACGTACTGTTGTCTGGAAAGCTCATATTTTTATATTCTGCTTTCAGTTCAGTGAATTATATTGAATAGAATTGATATTATGTGTCATCACAGGCAGATTTGTGTATGCAGCGGTAATGAGTTGTAATTGTCAATCGTCATATCGATCAGATGTAATAATGAGCACCCGAAATTTAGATGAAAAGCAGCGGTAATGAGTTTGAAACTTTTGCAATGTAGTGGTAATGTTGAATTCCCACAAAAAAAGTCATTATGACGACAAATAACTTGCGAAATAATGACTTTACACAAGATTAAGCCCTGTAACATAAACTTATTTGTCAATAGCCTGTCTCGGTTTAAAAATTTACGATATATTTTGATTCCACATATGGCTAAAGTTGTCGATTTCGTATATCTACACTCTAACTTATTTATATTCCTTTCCCCATGAAATCTGAGATTTTAGATTTTGTAATGCATCAGTAACACATTAACCTTGGCGAATATTTTTTTCTTCTATCGAGGTTAATGTGATGTGTGGACCATACCACCTTAAAAAACTAGTACTGGATCCATTGTAAAAGGAAATGGGGTTTTGTATAGATCGTGTTAAGGTTTGGCCTACAATTCACTTGGACCTTAAACTCCATGGTAGGGCAATTAATTACCAGAGAGCTAAGATAAAGTTACGGAAAATGCAATAATCCTGGACATAAAAAATTCATAGGCTAATGTACATAGTGTCCATATAAGCAAGCTGTAAGTAGTAGACCACACAATTCTCAACTGAATCGATTTTGGAGAGAGAGAGAGAGAGAGAGAGAGAGAGAGAGAGAGAGAGAGAGAGAGAGAGAGAGAGAGAGAGAGACGAAAACAGGACCAGTATTTTATCCCCTGGTAGGTCTATTTCGCAAACTTGCTTTTGTGGGCTTGGTGATTGCCATTGCTATTGATTTCGATGTAATTTTCAACAAAAGTATTTTTTCCCAAATTGCTGAGACTGGCTAGATTCCAAGAAAAGCCAATATTGACTTTTTTCCCCTTATTCACAAAAAATATGACGTAAACCGATGTTTCTTATTTATTACATTATATATAAAACATGGAAAATATTGTAATATCATTGAAGTCGATGAAATGCGTTTTTTTTCTATTAAAAGCTAAGCAAAATAAAAAAAAAGGCGTATAGACAGAATTGCAGAACATGTCTCTGTATACAATAACATAAGAATATTGATCCAAAGACTGCATCACATTCTTAATATCAAGTCATTCTCCTATTTCAATAATTCTGCATTATGCAGTCTGCATAAAAATCCGACTTTTCGTTGTGTTTCCTAGAAACGGATTAAAATGACCAGTGTTTTAATCGATAGCTGGTAACAGAGAGCAACAATACTGATGAAGATGGTATGAAACACGTTTGGTATAACAAATTTTGATTACACTCAACAGATTACAGTTATCACTGCCCAAGCTTGGATGAGCTGGTCCCCATTGTAGATGTAATCTGGTTCCTTTCTCCCAGACTTAGAACTCCAGCAATGTGCTGGCATTAACTTCCGTTCCGTTAGCCTTGATCTGTCCGTTTTGTTCCGTTTTCAGAAGATTTCCATTTGGTGCTCTGATTGTCATCTTTGAGTTTCCCATAAATTCAATAATAAACGGAGTTGGTCCGTCTCCATCAAGCATTAACAAATCATTATCGGCAATGCTGAAAAACTTCCCATTTGATGCTGCAAAATACGGATATTGCTTTATATAATTGATATTTAACAGATTTGAGTCCTTTTTTCGAAAAATTCAGTCATATAGAGACAAGGATGGAATATGCAATAAATATATATACCAAATAAAGGAACATATTTTCAAGAGTTCTACAAAAGTGTTACCATTCATTGCCTCAAGAATGTTTCTCCGGATGGGTAAATACAAAAAATTAACAGTCGAGTATTAACAGGCATTTAATAATTATAACTTCCGGTACTTCTTACCTTTCAGGGTGTATGTCCCATCTTTACATCCCTGCAACTGAATAAGGTCATAGGTCACTCTATTACAGCAACACTCTTCAGATTTGACCTTGACCCCAACAAATCCGAACTCACACTTTAGGACCAATAGAGGTCTATTAACGATTCGAATTTTAAACTTTTCTTTTTCGCCAATTGTGTCAGATGCCGCCACTAGACTTCCGGTGGCCTTGTTGAAGATGTAAGAATTGTTACTAGCCTTTAAGGCAACCGTTCCGTCACCCTGCCACTCCAAACCAAACAAAGCATTAGGCGTTCTAGTCCAAAAAAATGAAGAAAAATTAACATTAATTTAAGGTTTGATCAATATTTTTTTAAATAATGTAAAACGAATTGTCTGGGATTCAAAGAATTCACACAGACCTCTAGCCATTTCACTTTACTTAAAAAGATATCAAAGAATCGTTCATGGGCGAATTGTTTTGTAAAGAATGGGGTATTGGAAAGGAACAGAATATAAATATGAACAGCTTTATACAGTTTAAAATACTTGTGCAAGTCTGAAAATCAAACATCATATGCGTTCAAGCTCTCATTTGGTATGTATGGCAATATTCAAGTACATTTATTTTACCTCAAGTGACATGAGTATTTAAGTATTTAAGTGTGATAAAAACCACCAATGGTTTTTTGATATCAATTTCACGTACATGGATGTTGATTTGGCCTGGACGCCGGCACTGGTGGGCTCCAGGGCCCAGTACTTGTTGTCGATGGTTCTGAAGGCCCAGGAGTCGGTGTCACGATTATACTCCATTTGGAATGTCTCTCTGTCTGTTTCCTCCTCTTGATTTGCTGTGACGTCAATACCTGCAAAACGACAAAACGGAACTCAGATTCCTGGAACCCTATCAAATAAAATACTGCTTATAAAAATGTAGTTTGCCTGCACTATGCTATGTATCAGGTGATAAGTCTTAGGGCGGATGAATTTTAAAGATACTAAAAGTTGAGAATACATTGAGTTACGATATACATGTATATTGCATGAAGGCATTTTTTAATTCTTTTGTATTTATGATACCTTTTATGCTCTGTTTATTGTTGTATTTTGTTTATCTGTTTATATTTGAAAGCGATAGCTATACGTGTTGCATACACATTCCATTTATATTACATAGATCGGAAGTATTATATTTAAATATTTAAGCTTCCGTGAAAAGTAAAATGTTAGGTCCTTTGTGTCTGTCTACAGCCTTCTTTATCAGCCCTCTTAACGTCAAGTGGGCAGTTTCCGCAACTACAAGTCGCTCAACAAAAATACTTTTCTTATCTGCAAACAAGTCTTCAAAGGAAGAGACCACCGCTAGAATACCCCCACCGCTAACCTTGCAGGGTTAGGAAAACTCCGGAAGAAAGGTGCTCCAGTAGTAGACTATTATTATTATGAGTAAGGGAGAAAGTATTTGATATTCGATACGTTTAATATAGTCTTATCATGATAAAGGAAAATTGGCTTAAAACAGCGGGGAATTGCGGCCGTGGTTTTAATATAAAGCACGTGTACATGTAAGCACACAACTCAAGATTACATCATATAATGGCATTCTCTCTCTCTCTTGTGCTTCAATTGCACAAAGTTAAAAATTAATATATGCATATTAAGTGTTCTAGAGATTTCAGACACACCATGTTCAAAGTCCAATAGCCAATGTTGTTTTGACGGCATGCTAAAACTGATTTTGACGTATTTCAATTACAGCAGAGGATGGAAGGATAAGATTATTGATTGCCTTTGTTTACAATTATTCACTCGCAACGACACTAGAACATGGTTCTCCTTTGCTAAGGGAAATACTTTATTGATGATTTTGTTGGTTTTTATTTTGATTCGTTTCTTTTGCTGCAAATGCAAAACAGCACGCACAGCAGGACCTAACGATCCTGTAGATTGGCCGTGATAAGACGCTGTCTGATCCTGGTTTGTTTCTGTAAAAAAAAATATTCTGGAAAAATTTGAAAAACGCGTGATTCATAATGCTCTAAAAAGCCATTAAATGTCGGGGAGTATAATTTTTAACATGCTTTGATCGAACGTCGAATTAAGAATTACTTCACGAGAAAAAGAATAAAGACAGACGACAGGGTCGACATACAAGTTTGGGGTTTATGTTGAATTAATAGGTCGAATCCGATTGCTTGCACTTATTATTAAAGCTGCATCTGTACAAACACAAAGAACATGAGTCATTTGAGAAGGGAATGAAATGTCGGTTTGACAGAAACATTAAAATGTGTGTATATATAGCTGTCGCTTAATACTGGCCGATTTTTTTCTTTTTTTTTATTATGTGTTCACACGAGATGATAAAACTACACAAATTATAGCATAAACTCGACTGGCTGTTGCATCAATTATGAAAACATGCAATTAAGAGACTACATGCTTTCTTTCATCCATCATGCACACAGACGTATATTTATCAATACCCTAAACAAGTTACCTTGCTTAATTGAGGCTAGCTTCCCATTGTGAGCAATTACGAGGACTTGTGGATGGCTCTCCTCTATTGTGAACAGTTCATCTTTTGTCACCGTTTTATTTCGACCTTTCATAGAGGCAGTGGAACCCACGGCGGTCAAATAACGCCCGTCATTATCCTTAAAAGCCAGACCCGAGATCTGTCCTGATTTGATTTCTAGTGTGAATTTACTGGAGTCGTCCAGTGCCTCGACCAAACCTCCATCTTTATGAAGATAACGATTGTCAAAGGTTTTCAGGGCGTACTTTCCCTCCACGAATTCTAGAATGATGAGCGCGTCCTGTCCCCACGGAATGACCTCGGTGCATTGTAGCTCGTCATCTTTAAGATGACCGTAACGTTTTCGGTTAACATTACGTAAATGAACCTGAGGATGGATCGACAGCTGTACAGTCCAGCTCTCACAGTCCCCCGGGGATTTGGCAAAACATTTGACATTTTCTCCACTGTTTCCTAGGTAATTCCCATGCTCCTTCTGTCGGAACAACCACTTCCCCGTGCCTTTGGCATATTCTATGGCGAATTTCTCAGAGGGCCCCGGTTCTTCAGCTTCACATGTAACATTTCCATACTTATCAGACGACAGGTAGCGTCCCAAAAAACTACGAATGTACACAACTTCCTCATTCAAATCCTGCTCCAATGTCCATATCTGCTTATTTTTTAAAGCAGTACCCGATGCATTGACTTTAAATCCAAATTTCTCTGCTGTTAGGTATGTGTTTGTGCTGGTGACAAGGCCAGCTTTCCACTGCAGTCCAGTCGATTTGTGTCCATTTATTCCGTTTGTCTCCGACATTGCTTCTTTGTGATCGCTTTCGCCTCAGTCTCTCTGCTACAGCGATCTGAACACACGGAGCCGCGCCTCGCTCAAGTCAACCGCGACAGTTCAACAGTCAAGCACGCTGCAGTCTGATTGGTCGATCGACGCAATGTGAAAGATACTTTAAAGATTTTTTTTTTAAAAGATGTCAAACACTGAACAGCGTGAAGACTTGTACCGTGATGAATGACTTCCCTGTTTCAGAGACCTTACTCAATGCTATCAATGATCAAGTACACATACATAAAATCTATGTGGGAATAGCAATATTGTATGTGCGTGCATTAGCGAGGGTATCAAATAACGTGCCTTTAAAATATCTTTATCATTACAACAGGTGAAAGATAATTACTGTTCATACACGTTTTAGCTGACAGGTGAAAAGTACATGTATACATGGTAGATAAAGAAACATAATTGGTACTATATCATGTTACATGACAAATTACTGCCAAGGTCAGAAGCATAAATTAATTAGAATCATTCAACAGCAGTGGGAAAAAAACTACTCTTCTCGTTTGTACAAAGTATTTAATCTAGCATTTAAGCAGTTTGGCGAATATAACGACATTTCTTAAATTAATACAGACTTTTTACACTAATTGCAACTCGACGTAAGAGAGCTTGTCAAACTAAAATAAAAATTTTAAAAAAATTAGGAAAACTATTTATATTCAGTCTTAAAAATTGATGAATTTTAACGAATTGTGAATTATGTTAAATTTACAATCGTTCATAGGAAATCAATTTACAAACTTGAATTTTGTAATTTTAGCTCAATTTATAGTCGAAATTTGATTAACCTATGAACTTTACTTTAAGGTATATGCTAAGCGAGATAACTCGCACGATTAAAAAGGACAAAATAACAGCAAATACAGGCAACTGAGGATCCTAAAACTTCAGTAGTATTTGATTTCCCCTTGAAGTATAACTTTTTTCCTTTCATTCTTTGGTTTTTATCACCAAATTTTATTTTTATTTTCTGGATCCACCAATGTCAAATATAATAGCAATAAAAGTCGTAACTTCAATTCGAGACAACTGTCTCTCTAGAAATTTGAACAAAACTAAATAAAGCAAAAATGTTTCAAGCTCCCACTTATTTTCAACCGAATCCCAGAATAGTATATCAGAGTTTTTGTCTCTATCAGAGTTTTTGTCTCGGTCCTAGTTAGCCTGAGATGCCGGTATCGACTAAACACATGGGCTAAATCTCGAAGAGCGCGGGCTGTATATTATGCTTGGACTGCAGGCGCAGATCCAGGAATTTTTTTCCAAAGAGGGGGGGGGGGTGTCCACTCCAGTCAAAAAAAAAAAATCCAACCCAAAAATTTCTAAACAAACAAAAAGAAAAAAAAAAGAAAGAACATTACCTAAATTCCCTTCCCTATCCAGAAAATTGACAAGCGAAAAAAAATTAAATACATGTAAATAAAAAATAAAAAAAAAACCCGTAAAATCTAATTCCCCAATAACACCTATTTAGTGGTGGTGATGGTGGGGTCCACGTTTTTAGGAGGGGTCCAAGGTCATTTTTTTATTTGCTTCAGTATATACTTTTAATACCTCTGCAAATTCCGGGGGGCGGGGGTTCCGGACCCCCCTTCTAGATCCTCTAGAAACTTTAGATAGTTCTACAATCAGCATGTTGAGTTTTGAGAGATGTTAAATAAGTAACCTATGATAACACAGGCCAGGGTTTTTGAGTTTACAGTACTAGAACATATGTAAACATGGCACTCGGGGATGAATTCTGGCATTCAGGCAAAACATACGTCACCCCCCTTTTTTTTCCTGAAAAGTTCAAGTTAATAAGAGTTACTTCTCTTGTATCACAAACCCCGAAGAACACGGGAGGGGGAAGGTTTTCAGTAAAAATTTTACTTTTTTATCACACAAATTAAGGAGAATCAATGGTTTGAAATAATGGGCAATTTAGAGGAATCTCAGTCAATAAAATGAAAGGATTCATCTACACTTTCCAAGAAAAGAACAGTTAGGAGTGTGTGTGTGTGGGGGGGGGGGGGTTAAACATTTTTATGATTCATAATTATGTTACTTACTGGCTCCCGGATCTCTGTATATGCTGTAAAATCATAAGCATTGAAAGTATTTATATATAAATTAGCAAACATAAATCAAATTAGACAAAATTGACCATTTCTACAATTTCCCATGCACGAGTGTATACATTTACATATTTCAAGTTTATCTTACAAACAAGCGGGGGGAAAATGATTTTTCAGTAAGAAAACAAAATCATGCAGCAAGGGGCCACTCTACATGAAATGTATATTTCTTGAAAATATTTGAACTCAAGTTATTCAAGGGCCATTAAAGGGCATCGTCTCAAGTCACGGTCCAGAGTCCGCTCATAGCTCCAGAATGGGAAAGGATCGTACATTTTGGCCGTGTTTTGCGACGATGTTCAAGGGTCGCTGTTGAGATTTTTACAAGGACTCATGGTCAAAGTGTCGAGTTCAATGACAAAACTTAGAAGTGGGATTTCAATCCCACAACTCCGCTAATGTATTTTGTTTTCCTTTTTCCACAGAACGCACTTCCTCTCACATTATAAGTGGCAGCCACACTCAGCACACCTCGGCCGATTCGTACCTCATGTTTGATGAAGGTGACGGAATCAGCCGAGGTTTGCCGAATGGTGGTAGCCATTCATCTTTTTGGAAGATGTAGATGTGCAATAAGGTTTTAAATTTTCATTTTCACCCTGGGGGCGAAATTGGAAAGTCATTAAACGACATTTTTCTGCAAAATCTTCCTCACAATCCTCTTTCATTTTGGGATTTTCATTTTTACCTTTTTGGCCAAATGGATTTTTTCTAAAAAATCTTCTTTCCCAAATTCCTCTTACATTTATACAGTAGCCAATTTATCTTTTGGAATATGATAAATTGTGTCCTGTAGATGTGCAGTAAGGTTTGGATTTTTATTTTTATTCTGGGCCACTAGTACTAGGTGGGTTTTCCCAAGTTCCCAAAACCTTCTTACATTTTAGGCAGTGGTAGATAACTAGATATGTAAAACGATTTCTTTTCCATCAAGGAGATCAATTAGAGCGGCAAAACTGTAATTTTTTAAAACAAAAAACCTTCTTTCCGAAAAAAAATGTTTAAAACAGAATTTCATTAAATTCATTAGTTTTAGACTGCAATCATTCTAAGTTTAATTTCATACCTGTATATACTTACACGTGTAAATTATGCAATAAGTATCGTTGCTTCTTCATTAGCTAGCCATGGTCAGGTATATAAGAGAATAATTTTAGAGGCTAGCACTTGAAAGCGGGTATTATATACTGTCTGATAACATCTAGTTGTATTTTAGTTCAGATAAATTGAATATCATTGAAGGCATATTTTACTTAGGGATCGTGTCGACACTCTTTCGTAAGATGTCAATTGCTTGTCTATATTTCTGCAGTTTATGAAAATAGAAACTTATCCCCTCCTTTAACGTTAAAGGGAAATAAGAATACATTTTATATATTGCTTTAAAAATGTAAGGAATCCAATCTACCAAAATTAGATCTTTGATCTGCTCCAATTTTGTGTAGCGATCTAGTTGTAGCGGATCAAAGATCTAATTTTAATTAGATTGTAAGGAATTAAGAAAGATTTGTCCAGTGGTAAGGCTCTATAATCAAATTCCAGTTATTGGTTACTCTCAAGGTAGTTGGCGTCTGGAATAGTAATTGGCACAGATTTTAGATTGAAACAAAAATTGAATATATACTTTTAAAATAATTTCATTTGTAGAATATTAAACTACGTGTGTCTTTATTCTTGCACCTTAAATGTATTAACAGTGCGTGCTTATTATTGGTTGGACAAGTTACATGAATCAATACACACACACAGACACACATAACTTATTGTTAGTTACCACTGTAATTTTCTCTTTAACGATCTGATAAAGAATGGAACAATGAAAATATTTTTGATTAATTTTCAGATTTTTTCAACTTAAAGTTAAGTTCACTGAAAAATAAATACATGTACATGTAGATATAGCAATGAAAAAAAAATCCTATTGTAGTAAGTATAAAGTCATCCTTGGAGAAACGTTTTAAACCGATAGGTAAACATCATTTTATTACAAGCAATTTTCTGAATTGTGAACTTTAGAGTAAAAACGTACAGTTTTTTCCTAGCAAATGAACCTTAGTCTGGATCAGATAAAAACAATTTAAGTTCATAGCCCGTCTTTCTTCGTTCTGAATATTCCTGACTTGCAAATACATGTATCATGCTATTTATAGTTACTGTACTTTAATCATCACTGTGACTGATTGCTTACATGCAAATTCTTATATACTTTCGACAGAACAACAAAACATAATTCAATAAATTGATTTATAAAATCAGGACCATAGCAATGATTTCAGAAGTGAGGGGGAGGGGGGGTTGGACCCCCCCCCCCAAAAAAAAAAACTGACAGCCCAAAAAGAAAAAGCTAATTAACTGTCCAAATCTTGGAATTTGCCAGTGCTCGACCTTGCAGCGACAAGAAAAGGGGGCAACCAGCATTTGAAGAAAAATTTACTATAGCAAAATACTATACTCAGAAAAAGTGGGCCTGTTAAAAAAAGGGAAATGAAACATACCAATTAATTTATTCCATGCCGGCTTAATTGATATATTTTAAGTGGTATTGTACCATTTACTGATGAAAGCTCTTTCCGATTCAGTGCTTAGGATAAATATGTCTTCTTTCCGAAATTAATGTTAATATCAATGGTTTTGATACAGAAAATACTGCCTAGAGTTATTTTCAATTAATGCTTAACCGAATATGAACTACGGACATAGGACATTAGTTTTTTGAACTTAGTACGAAGGCCATTCGATAAAAGTAACAGAAGATTGACCTGGGTAGGTATTTCTTGAGATGTTTTAAATGGTAAAAATTGTAAATAAGTATACAAGTTTGTTCGCATCTTGTCCCCTTGTAAATTAAGCTTACAAAACTGTTTTTACAACGTCCTAAATATTTTGTGGAGGACATAGAAACGTTTAAAATCATATATTTTTTTTAAATACTGAAATACATGTATATA